TTTCATGGTGGTTTGAGAGTTAAAAATCACAATTTAAAAAGTAATATAGTATTTCAGTTATAGATTGATATCAATGTAAATATATTTTATTTTTGGTGTTTTGTATGTTTGTTATAATGTGGTGGGAGAAGGAATAAAGTGTGTGCACTGTTGTAGTGAAATAAYCATTGTGACCCACTGAAGACCACAAAAAAGCAGGAATGTGTACAACTTTTGGATAAACTATGTGAACACATTGAAAATTTAATCTTGATACAGCTTTTACATATTTTTAAATATGTTGAATTTAACTTCATTCATGATTATATATAACTTACTTACTGTACTATTCTATGGAAGACCGAAGTAACACTTAAAATACAACATTTAATTAAAAAAATGAAAACTTTACTTCATGTTTTATCATTTAATTGAGCTTCCTATTTTTTCCAGCATGTTCAAACAAATGATATATTTTAGTGCCTAATTTAAATTAAGTTTTTTTAACTTGTAGATGTTCAGTGTCTTTTTTCCCGCAAGTCTCTTATTTCCATGTGTTGTTTTTGCTTTTTCATGCTCCTGTTTTTACTTTACCATATGTATTTATGCCTCCTTAATGCAATTAAGGTGGACAGGCCTTCTTGGGTTAGCTCCTTTACCATTGGTCAAGAGACAGGAAGGAGCAGAATCCATGTAAATGGTAAATAGTAAATGGACTGTACTTGTATAGCACCTTTCTATCCATCCAGGACACTCAAAGCTCTTCACACTACAATCTGTGTCCTCATTTACCCATTCACACAGCACTCTATTAGGTCTCTACAAAGCTAACATGTACAATCATATCAGTGCCAATCACATTCATACATTGATGGGCATTAGGGGTGAAAACAATTGAGATAGCTGGAATGGGGGATCGAACTGGTGACCTTCTGGTTCCAGGACGACTCCCCTAACCACTCGGCCACAGCCGGCCCATGTGCAGACAGATTGTGCATGCTGTATGACTCTGGCCAGGTTGTTTTATGCAGTATTACTCTAAGATTCAGTCTCATTACTGTTACATCATCTTCTCTTTTTGTGGTTACAACTGTTTTCAGTTATATTAATATAAAAACACCCACACTCCCACCCACCCATAACAAACAACAAGGACAAAAGTAAATCATTTGCACACAAATAAGAAGAAAGTTTTAACATCTAAACACCCAGATTATTTCCCTCAGGCCTTGTTAAATAAATTTGAAAAAAGACTAAACTTTACTCTGAACCATGATTACAGTGAGATTTATGTACATGTAATTACTAAGCAACTAGGTTTTGCCAGTTGAGCCAATATTGCTTTGTTTTTGTTGGTGCACTTTCAATAAAAATGAACTGATTTTGCTATAAAACCTGTACAAAACAGTTTACTACATTCTGCTGTGCTGCAGTCAGTGTTAGGTTGATTTCCAAAGACATTTACAGCAAGGACGGTGTTACCCAGAGTTGTTTTGGTCCCAGCTCAGCAGACAGATGGAAATAATAAAACTGGGAAAATGGATATCAGCACAAAATGTTAGAAAATTTAACCTAAGTTTAGTATCTGTCGCCTCCACAAATTCACATTTGTTACACCCCAAGGCTTACAGTATAATGAAGACCACATGGAGGTGCTTAGTGTGTGTGTGTGTGTGTGTGTGTGTGTGTGTGTGTGTGTGTGTGTGTGTGTGTGTGTGTGTGTGTGTGTGTG